TAATAAAATTTAAAAACAATTCTCAAAAAACATGGCGCATAATTAGAGACGTCATAGGTAAAAAAAAATTCAAATTGTAATAGTCTTCTAAAAAAACTCATTTTAAATGACTGTGAAATAATTAATGAATCTTTAATTGCTCAGTCGCTTAACCATGCATTTGTTAACTCAGGCGTAAATTTAGCATCAAAAATTAAAGTTAATAAATCTGATTTTAAATCATACTTAATCGTTAATAATACCTAAATGGAAAACAACAAATTAACTGAAAAATGATTTTCTAATGCTGTCTTTTTTTTTAAAACCTAACAAAGGTCTTGGCCTTGACAATGTTTGCAGTGATGTAATAATAAAATCAATCTTTTATTTAAAATCTCCACTCATGCATATTTTTAAGATGTCTCTGGAACAGGGAATCTTTGCTGATAAACTTAAACTTGCAAAGGTGGTCCCTGCCTTCAAATCCGAAGATGTTACAAGCGTATCCAATCACAGACCAATCTCAATATTATCATGCTTTTCTAAACTATGAGAATACATTATGTATCACCGACTATTTACCTTTTTAGAAAATAAGAATGTTCTCTATAAATTATAGAGAACATTCTTATTTTCTATTGTTGTTATTGTTATTTTTTATTGTTGTCTATTGTTTTATTTATTATTCTTTTTAAATCCGAATTGTAGTATAATTCGGATATAAAAAGAATAATAAATAAAACAATTCGGATTTAAAAAGAATCACTCCACTGGTCAAGCACTTATTCATCTTGTTTAAAATATTTTTCAGGCATTTGATGAAAAAAATATATATTAGGTGTTTTTATTGATCTTAGCAAAGCATTTCTTACTGTTGATCATTATATTCTCCTAAATAAACTTAAAAACTACGGGATTAAAAATTCGAATATTAAATGGTTTCAAAGCTATTTGTCAAATAGGAAAGAATACATTTCTTTTAGCTGCGGAGAAACTGGTAGTATGAATATAAACTGCAGGGTTCCCCAAGGGTCAATTTTAGGACCACTCTTACTTTTAATTTATATTAATGACTTAAGCAAATCTTGTAATTTATTAGACGCTATTTTATTTGCTGATGATACAAATTTGTTTTATGCTCATCATGATATAAAAATGTTGTTTAACTTAGTTAACATGGAACTCTTAAAACTTACTGAATGGCTTAATGCAAATAAATTATCAATTAATTTAACTAAAACAAAGTATACATTTTTCCATCGCTTTCATGAACGCAATAAAATCCCCTTTAAACTTCCAATACTTTGTATTGGTAGTCAAGCTATAAAAAGAGAACACTCGTTAAAATTTCTAGGCGTACTCCTTGATGAAAACGTAACTAGGAAAGATCATATACATTATCTTAAAGGTAAAATCTCGAGAAATATAGGATTACTTTATAAGGCGAGGCCTTTATTAAATCAAACTTGTTTAAAACTGTTATATTTTTCCTTTATTCATTGTTATCTGAATTACGCAAACATAGCTTGGTGTAGCACAAATCAAAACAAAATTAAAAAACTCTTTAATAAACAAATAAATGCTATCAGAATATTATCTAATGTAGACCGTTTTACACACTCCAAAGAACTATTTATAAAGCTAAATATACTCAACGTCTACCAAATAAACATTTATCATTTTTTAATTTTTATGTTCAAAGTTAACTCAAAAATAACACTTAACATTTTTAATTCGTTATTCATGATAAACAAAAATAGATACTTAACCAGATACTCAAGCAACATTTATATTCAGTCCAAAAGTTTTTTTGCAGCAACGGAGTTTTCAATATCTATAAGAGGGCCAAAAGTATGGAATAAATTTATATCTAATAAACTTAAAACTCATGAAACTCTTAACAAATTTAAAGTAAAACTGAAACAAATGCTTCCGGTTAATTATATTTATATATACTAGCAGTAAGCAACCTGTTATACGCCTTGTTAGTAAATAAAATAAAAAAAAAAAAAACGCGTATAGAAAAGCCAAGAAACTACTACAAGAAAAGCCTAGAAAATGACGTAACTCGACTAATAATAATAATATTAAATTAGCGTATTCATATTATCAGATATATATATATATATATATATATATATATATATATATATATATATATATATATATATATATATATATATATATATATATATATATATATATATATATATATATATATATATATATACACAGTACTGTGAATATGTTTTAGACCACTTATATAACTAGTTGTATTTTTAATTTTTTTCCTGTGTATTTTTTTTTTTAAGCATACTTAAGTTAAGTAATATTTGAGAAAGGTTGAAAGAATATATTATCTTGAATATATAAACAAAAATTTATGAGGAACATGAGGGATATGTTTGTTTATTTATTTTTTGCGTTCATCTAAATAATACATAAAAATAATATTTTTGACTTTTTTCTTACTGGTTCAGGTTCATATTCGTTCATTTAAGTTTTTAACAGTATAAAATGT